TATTTATATAGAGACGGGTGCTCCGTCTGAATCCGGTCTGTATTTCAGCGTAATGTTCGCTGTGCAGGGATAATGGGTCCATCGGCTACATTAGCTGTCAACAAAAAGGCAGTTCCTAAAGTATGTAAAAGAGCAAAACAATAAGTCCATCATGACGGAAGGCACTGCTACAATTTGACCGAAGATCAGCTATTATCGAAAACGTAATATTTCGCGTCTCCGGACGAACCCTACTAAGATATAAAAAAAAAACTACTTTTTTGGCCCGAGGTTCATTTGGGTCGTCATTCATCGTCAGTTCTCATGTGGCTTCTGAACAAATCATAAAAATTATTAAGAAAACAATCTTTGGTTTTTCGATGCAAAAATTAGCAACCTTTTTTTAGGTAGAAAAATATCATTTTTCAATTGGGTCGTCACACAAATTTCAACGGTTGGTCTCCTTGGACTTTTTTGTGCCTTGAACTTTTTCTCGTGATATCCTCTTAAAATTCTCTTTCTTTGAAATTTTCATATACAGCATAGTGATACCTTGCAATATGGTTTGATGCATGGTTTCTCCCAAAAAGTTATTTGCAGATTTAAAAAGATTGATTTGAAAAAGGTATCGAACTCGAATTGAAGTTGTAATTACTGTAGATGATGAAAGGAAATATGAACGTTAGGAATGACATTTCTGCTGCGTGCAAAAAGTCCCTGAGTTATCTCTTTATGTCCTTCTTCTTGTTACATATTAGACGAAACACCATGTATATCCGAAATCAACTCACGCGATTTCTATGGTTTTTGTGTGCAGCTTGACGTGCTAAGAGTACGGTACAATAAGAACGACACGAATGAGAAAAATTGGTTTTTCTCTAAAATATCTACAAAACCTCCACAGAACCCCGAATGTGAGCTGGGAAAGAAATTACGCCTTTGTCTTTTGAACAAGAGCTGAAAGGTTACTCATTTGTTTAAGCTCTACGCATCAGGTCCGAATTTGCATTTTCCCAAGCGATTAGGTCTGTTCACGTCCTTTTATGGAGTCTACTACGGTGTACATGGTTGGCTTTAGAGTTGAGTGATGAATGTTCGAAAAATCTTATCAATCATTTCCACATCTTTAATCGTCTGGATTTTCAGAAGATTTTATAAAATTTCGAAAATTGGCCTTATTCTATCTGTAACGCATAATAACTGTAAAACAACGGCAGAAGATAAACGATATTCCAGTGACATCTCAATCGAAAGGGGAGCACAAGATAATTAGAAGCGAGTTATAAGACATCTGTAATATGTGATTTAGTTTAACTGAATAGTCGAAGTTACGTATCAAAGTTACTATAGCATTGCGGTCGAATCGTCAGAACAAGACGTTTACATCTTATTGATACGATAAATTTTCTCCAGTGGACTTTCAAAATTTCAGTGCTATTGCAAAACAGATGGTGGTAACAGGAAGAGCAGCAGGTTTAGAGAACAACTACAACGAGTCCGGGTTGAGAGAATGAATAGATAAAGTGCAGGAATGATCTCGCCTTAGCAGGAAACAGAACTCGTAAACAACGGACACTAGGTTAGTGATGATAGCAATAAAGTTCGTAAGCCTTAATGTTCATGGTAAATTTTGCGCGTCTGCGGCGCTGTTCGTTATCATCGCACAGGTCGAACAGATATCGCCATTAAGTTCTGATACCTGCACCGATATCGGCTACGTAGAAACGAATACTAATACGAGTGGATGGCTTTCCATTGTGGAGGAAATACCCACATTCACTTGATCGGTAGAACAGCTTCTAGATCTAACGAATGCTATGAGATATCAAGCAGTTCACTAAAGGACTATCGCTGAGAGCGGCTGATGAAAAAAACCTAGTTAATATTGTATAGCAATCGCGAAATGTTACCCTTCGTATGATTGATTCGAGCGGGGTTATGTGTGCAGTTGGTCTTCACTGGTGCATTGACTGCGTTCAATACAGAAATCATCATTACAACGACTAAGTTCCTCTATTGACGTCCATTCTCCGGCCCATACAGCAGCTTACAGATAGATGTATGAAGTTCACTGGTTATTTTGTTGCCCCTTTTTGATTTAGTTTGCTGCCCTCAAGTGTTTACTAGTACAACAACGTGCTCACCGACTAACAGATGCCGCCCTTAATCCACTTAGCTGAATTATTTTTTCGCATCTCCTGTCCCTTGACCCGGCTTGGACCTATATCGCCATATGGATGGATTGTGATGATGATCGTGGTATTCTGCTGGGACTCGTAGGACCCCATTGGAATTCGTGAGACTCCGCTGTGACTCACAACACTCGCCGGGACCCGTGCGTAACGCTGCTTTCGCTACGGCATCTGATTTAATTATTAAGACGAATAGCAACGTTGTGTCAGAGCCTAGGACGTCTCTCTCAGATGTCGTCTAGAGCCGTACATTCTACCAGCGAACTAAACTTAAACGACTATAGCGATGATGCGATTTGTAATCAGGGGTTCGCTAAAAGCTTTCTGTTTGCTTCCATTGAATGATGTTGTGATTGTTCGCGTAAGATCCGTTCGCCTGATTTGATTCCCTTGGGTCCCATGAAAGCTCAATAGTAAGCACGCAGATACACGTACGCATCACATATTGGATGGGGCAAGAGTTCTAAAGTTCAAATGTACATGGTACGTTTGTATGTAGATATTATTCTGTTGAATACAAAGAGTAGTGACGCTAATAAAAGTGTCAACGAACGAAAGGCAGAAGAAGTCCTCTGATGATGATCTGGATCCGGTTTAGGTGCCCGAAAAACAAATCAAATTAGTCCTCTGTTGCAAGTATGAATAACTTCTCTGGAGATTCCTAACGGCGCAAGTTGTCAGGCACCCCGTTGAACGTCGGTCGGTCAAGAAGCGTGTTCTCAGGATATCGACTGATGGGTCCTGTTGCTCTGCGGATTGAGTGATTATTGAATACTCATTCATTTTTTACTTAAATTTCAATATTGTCTGACAGAAAGATATCAACGCTGTTCCTCCAGATATCGAGGTACAGTATGATTACTAATATAGTACACTGTATTTGTACACTTGGTACGATGGTTGTCATTTTCAAAAATCTTATAATAGGTAATTCTAAGCGATTAACTTAATTCATGCCCACATGTACGTTCTTAGGCTAATATACGTGCGTCAGCGGTAACTGCTACACTAACTTTACTCAAATACAGGGTACTAATTTGCATTTCTTACATGTTATAGTAATACTGGCAGGTCGTCCTACTTTCAATTGTTCAGGTTAAACCTTTTGCGCAAAGTTCCTATGTGTTTGATAATTCAAAAATTCAATTATCTTACTTTTTTTTCAAAATTAATATCACAATATCTAGAAATAGTTACCGGCGTCGATGGGTCCTGAAACGCTAAAGGAGGTCGAAGGGTTGACAAGTCGAGCAAACTTTGTGCGGGGATACCAAGGAGATTTCCCTAAGCAACTAAGATATAAAATCAATTTTAAAGAAACCTATTCGCTTAATACGTACGTCTATAATGGTGCTTTATAATTTCAAAGTATCGATCCGTTGCTAGCCGGGCCGTATTAAGCAAACTCGTCACGCAGGAGTCGCTGTGCCAACGTAACGTAAGCTTTCCTTTGTCGAGGCTCTCGCTGACAGGAAATCTTAATGCAGAATCATCAAGTTATAACTAAAAGCGCCATAATCAGCACATAACATAATCATAACACGTCAGCGGGCGTAAGCACCGCCAAGTCAGGGCCGCTTGCAGTTTGCAGCAGAATGAAACGCTCCATAACGGTTTAGGTAAGTAGGCGGTAAAGCTGACGAACCGCGAAGCAACCCAGTTTTAAAAGCAAATCTCGATCGATCCATCGAGTAGCCTGCTTCGAGTAACGAACGTCTCTAAATATACCCGTATATTCGTAGGTCTTGAGGTACCTTCGATGCTAAGAGCCCCGACGCCCCAGTAGGATCGCTTTAAGGGTTAGAGATATGAGTTTGTTTAGGTAAAGAAAGGCGGCGTGGGGATCACGTGGTACTGAAACTAGTTCACAGAATTTTTGTTCCGGTGTATACGAATAATATTCCCCTAGATTTAACAATCACTTGAAAATGCCGTGACACAGATTTTGGAACTACATTTTTTTTTGCCAAAACCCAAGTTGTTAGGTAAAAATAATGACAAAAGCAAAATTATATTGCACAAATGATTATGCACTATAATTATTGTACTATTATTATAACATGATCACTGTTCTTCATTTTGAAGAAAGTTATTTACACTTCTATTGTATATTATTCAATCTATTTCCTGTTCGCTGGCTTAAAATCTTACCGAGCTAAGGGACCCGATATCGCGACTGGCAAATTAATTGGATTCGAAACTGGTCTACCAGATTCGTTTGAATTTATAACAGTGGTCTTAGCGGACAGCATAGCACACTGACAGCGACAGAAAACAAAACAAGAGGGATCCGATGGTACTTTATAGTCTGTGATCTTTATTTACACTACAGGCTTAGTGG